ATATATTATTATTATTATTATTATGTAAAATAAATCTTTAGTGTGGAAGAAAAAATATATGATAATTTTTCCCAAATGCATGTTATAAGCGACCCAAACTTTGGTTTTATTTCGATTAATCGAGCTGTTCTACTTGTAAATGTTTTTATTGAGGCCTGAATGGGAAGATTTGCTTTACTTTGTATGATCAGGTGGTTCACAGGCCTTCCTGTAGCTTAGAATGATCAAGAGCAAACACACATACACACACTAGGGGTGGAACGATTCACTCGTTTTCTTGATGCATCGATTACAAACCCTGACGATGCAATGCATCGATCTTGAAACATGGATTTTTGAATCGTGAATCGTCGATTTCGGACAGAAATCGATTTAAAACGCTAAGAATCGAATGAATCGCTATTTCTATAGCGATTCAATGCTTTCAAAATATATACACATTAAATTACTACAAGCACGAATTAATGGAGACCTTGAACAGTGTTCGTGCCTCGCATCTCTCCTTCACGCGGTCCACTATTTACCGCCTGAGACTGTCACAGGATTGCACTCGCTGTTCGTCTCACTGACACATTTTTTGAGCAGCTGATGTGTGATCTCACCTTAGTACTCGTGGCCAGTAATGCTGAAGTTAAGTAGTTTTGCTTTTCTGTAGTTTTTCAATGGCTCTCGCCTCTCGGTCATGCCGACGACATTAGCCTACATGAGCACTGTCGAAGGCAGCGCATTTATTGCATGGACGAAGCAAAAATGTAAGTGTCTAAAGCATATACGCACAGTTCCACTGAATGATAAATGTGTTTTAACAATGTCGTTGAACCGAATGTACGAAGGAAACTGTTAAAATAACCACAGCATTAACAACAACCTTGAAATAAGAGCGCGAGGTTTATCTGATAATCAGATGCATGAAAGTAGTTCGTTGCTATAGCAAACAGACATCGGGCGCGTTTTCTTTCAGTAAATAAATACAATTTATGAATGATGCAGTGCTAATTGACATATCATTTATTACAGTACATAAACTATAAAGTATATTTTCTACCTTATTCTGTGCAGAAAATTGAAATAATTGTTTGTAGTATATAAAACAATCATAAAATTGCCATTAGGAAAAAATTATAGATTACAAATGATTGATTATTGTCCAGCAGTGTATTTGATTTCTTATAGCAAATTCAAAGTAAGAGATAAGAAAAGAATTCCTTGTGTAAAAAAAATAAATAAATAAATAAAAAATAATGATAATACATACATACATAAAATTATTGTATTTGACATTTCTATCACTTTTGAAATGATGGCTACGCCCCTGGCATGACAAAATGTTAGCCTATACATAATACTTTTAAAGCTCTTTTATAAAATCTTGTCTTACATAAATTTCTACATATGCCATGTCATGCCACAGCATCATTAAACAAGCATCTAACAATGGACAAAAGTGTTTTTTATTTTTTTTTTCAAACCTATGGTTCTGTAACCATAAAGGCTGCTGTGTAATTTGCCCCCTGACTAAGCATTTAAAGGGGTCATATGATGCTGCTAAATCGAATCGAATTTAATTGTGAATCGAATCGAATCGTTCTGAATTTGCGTTCTTGAATCGATTGAATCGTTCTTGAATCGAATCGAAAACCTATGAATCGTGAATCGAATCGATTCGCTGTCTACCCAAAGATTCGCAGCCCTAACACACACACATGAACTCAATAACCCCTAACGGCAACAGTACACGTAACACTAAAACAACGTGCACACACACACCCTGTTTCAAAAGACTTTCACTTCCTGTGCCAAAGCCAGAGATCAGACACATGCGAACACACAAAACTCCACACATATGCACTCAAAACCCCATCTATACATTCTCCATTTGGGCTCATATAAAATGAATATTCGAATATTCGTTTATTTAAATGACGTTTAACAAGAAAGACGTTATTTTTTAATAATCAAGTTTGTGTCACCATTTCTGAATAAGCTTATGATTAGGCATTATACACACCAATATTCTACAATAATGTTACATTATAGCTCAAGGTTTTCTTTTAGTTGAAAATGTGTGTAAACAATATATATTACAATATATATAGACACGAAGATAACAGAGTGCTAAGCAAAGTTTCTTTCAGCGCTTTATGTTTTCTGTTCTTAAACCACTCTCCCTCAAGGAAATTTAAGGGAGCATGTGTCTCAAGATCATTTGGCTATCAGATAAGCTCTCTTCTCCGCTCACTCGGGCTACAGCTGTGCTTACCTGCAGTCATGAATGCAGTGATGGACAGCTGTCTTTCCCCAGTCAACTGATGTTTGGATTTCATGTGGATTCTCGTTGTGGTGGTGATATTATGATAACTCCGTTTCACTGAATCATTTGATCAAAAGTCATTACATTTTGTAAGATCCTTTAGCAAGATCATTTTGATCAAAGTAATTCCAAACTTTGTGAGGCAGACGGCGACATTCTGTGATCAAATAAATCAACCTGTTAACATGCTTCACAGTAGGGTTGTCACGATACCATAAACACGTTACGATACTATCCCAGCTGAAGTATCACGATACCAAGTAGTATCGCGATACCATGCGAACTGAGAGATATATACTATACATACATATTATATAAGGCCGGTTTCACACCACACGTGTAAGCAGGACATAAGCAGAGCGTATTTTTTTTGGTGCCCATGTTAACAGGTTAGAGCAGTGGTTCCCAATCCTGGTACTGGAGAACCCCCAACACTGCACATTTTAGATGTCTCCCTATCCAAACACACCTGATTAAACTCATCAGCTCATTAGTGAAGACTCCAAGACCTCAAATGTGTGTGTCAGATAAGAGACACACCAAAACCGTGCAGTGTTGGGGGTTCTCCAGGACCAGGATTGGGAACCACTGGGTTAGAGTATTCACAACACACGCAAAGGCGGCGCGGCAGTTCCGTGTTTTCCATCCACCATATGACATTCAGTGCTGTGAAAAAATAGGCTTAATAAATGCACGAAAACGCATCATTGCCAGGAGTTTTTGCCCAAATTTCAAAGGCTCATTTAAATGATCAAATCTATAGTTTATATGTATATCTTAATGTTAAGATTACTTTTATCATGCAAACTACACTATATAGCATGTTATATGCATGTGTGTGAGTGACAAACGCTGCCAGTGTGGAAGCACAATGAGTGCGTGCGGCTCCCGCTCTGTTTACTTACAGCTTCTGCGCTGCCGCCGCTCTGCTTGCGCATCCAGTGTGAAACAGGCATAAGGTGCGAATTCTACACAGCATTTTGCGCCATTAAAGGGCACCGCAGAAAGGCAACAGGACAAAAAAAGCACTTTTGTATTGTTTATTTGAAGGCACAAGTGTTCAAACATTTTAGCAACTGCCCCACATACATTACTTACGGTAGAGCCATACGATACTACAGTTTAAAAAACACAGTGGCACCGCCAGTATTTTCGAGCCTTAGTATAGCGATACTACCGTAGTACCGGTAAACTGTGCAACCCTACTTCACAGTGCCACCCAGTGCATTTAGTAATAACTAACTTTTAGTTTGCATGCTTAGGATTTATCATGGATTCCCTGCATTTAGCAAAGCAAAACGTAGTAAAATACGAATAGTGTTTTTATTTTTTCGAACAATAATTACACATTGAATATTCACCTTTGTGCACACCTCTAATCAGGTCATAAAGAATCTCAAGACAAACCATACAATGTCTGCTGAAGTTTAAAACTACAGAGCTTGACTGTATGAAGGGAATAAAAGTGTGTGGGTGTTTCTAAATGTGTGAAATGTACACTGTTGAGAACATGAATGGGTGTATCCCTCAAATGAATTACATAGTCTACCC